AGACAACAAACCACTAACAATATATATGCATATTAGATAGTGACAAATGTTTTGAAGACAATAAAATAATACAGTGATAGGAGCTTAGAGTGGGAGCTAGGGAATTACATTCAGAAGAGTGGCCAGAGGGGTGATAGGTAAGTTGGGACCTAAATGATTCATAAGGAACTAATTGTGAGAGATCTGCAGAAGAGCAAGGACAGAAGCCTAAAGAACATGGAGAAAGAAAGGCTGGAGAAATAGTCAGGAACAAAATTGGGTGGGACTTTGTAGGCCATGAGGAGGATTTTAGCTTTTATTTTACACTAAAGAGGCCAGTGTAAGAGAAAATTGACCTAAGAAAGAAAGAGGCAGGAGAGTCCCAGATGTGAGTTGGACTCTGGAACTTGGCCTGGCCAATAATACACAAAAATGGACTTCAAAGCATCAGTGGTTGTAAAAGTCTCTGTATGGCCCTTGTGACTAGATAGGAAAATATAGACTGAATGACAGAGAAGCTATAAATATTTCCAGGACCTCTCCCTAACTTGAACATGTCATGGAGTTTGGCTCTCACTTTAATTTTGCCCTGGTCAACATCAACTACTCATCATGTTTCTGAAAGATATGAATAGTAATGAATACATGATAATGAAAGCAAGACCCAGAAGGGTATAAATACTCTACCTACTCTGCCAAGATTAAATAAAAAAGAAATAAATATAAAGACTTGTATTACTAAAAATTCACTGTCATTAAATGAGAGCCAACTCAGCTGTCCCTCCATTTGGGTTTCCCAGGCTGTAAATCAAAACAGGAGATTTCCCACTTTCTCCCAAGGAGCAGCTGGTAGATTTGAACCTCCAAAGCGGTGCAGCCTATAGGTAAGTAGCAGAACTCTTGAGGGTTGGGATTAGACCATCAGAGCTCTCGAAAGATCTATACGAGAAGCTCACAAAAAAGCTCAGTTGTGCAAAGATAAAAGTGGAGACATTGGCATCAGCAGTTAAATGTATGAAAAGGTCAGGGCTTTGACCAAACAATATGCATTGCCAAAAATTAGTTTGACTCTTAATTACATTCATACACAGATAGTGCCCAGAAGGAAGGAGGAGATAGTTTTGCTCTACTCAAAGTTGGCCCAGACTGTTTATAAGGGCAAATGGCATGGAGATGTTGCAGTAAAGATCCTCAAGATTGTTGACCC